TAAGGAGATTCTTCGACCCCCGGCCCCTGCTAGGCTTGAGCAACCATCTTTTAGTCTTGAACCATAACCCTTTTACTATATAAACAATTACTTTAATTTCTTTATTTTCTCTTCTGAATTATGACCATAGGCTTATCTATTTTCCAGAATTGTAAACATATAAAAATTATGCTTTTAAAAACACTTAACATTACTTTCTAAAAATTTATGGGTTTACACATTTTATTTGTTAATTTTAATGGCTTTATATTATCACCTACTCTTTTATCATAATTGACTTAACTAATCCCAAACTGTCAGGTGTTTTTCTTTAACATTATTTATTTACATATATGTGATAAATATCACTGCAATAAAAAAAAAGTGTGCATAGCACTTTTTTAAAAAATCATTTTTGAGTCTTTCTTTGAGACACATATTGCAAGGGGTGGGATTACCAGGTCAGATGATATAACCGTTGTGACTCCTCATGGTGTGTAAAACAGCTGATGAAAAGTGTAAAAAGCCTGATGCTCCCAGAGACACAGGAGACTCACATCCTCAGCAACCTTGTTTTATAATTAATCATTTTTTTTCCTTTTTAAAATGTTTTCATTTGTGTTTATTCAATTAGTGAGGCTAGTTTTCGATGTTCATTTTCCCGATCAATGTATGAATCGTATATTTATATCCTTTGCCCAAGTACACATCTCAGAAAAGTTTAGAAAAAAACTATTAACCCCTTTCCTAACGTGTTCCATGTGTCTCCGTTTTTGCTTTTTCTGTTAACTTTGTTTTGTTAGATATTTTTATACAGCAGTTTGGAATTTTATACAGTTGTGTTTGTGTTATTGTAAACTTCTGTTGTTTTAGTCGTTAGAAAATATCATTTATTGGGATAAATGTTTTACGACTAGTGGCTTTATTTTTGAAAAATAATGAACACTTGAGTCTATCTTGAGTTTTGTACTAAAGAGTGGAACACATTAGTCTCTCTTCGCTGACTTAATTTCATCCCTATGCTTCAAAGGTACTTTAGCAATAAAAGTCCACCCCTTACTGGGGTGGCCTGTGTTCCTTTATGCTAATTTTTATTTTTATTTTTAAAAAGTCTTCAGATCTTAAAAATATTGGCAAATAAAAAAATTGTAGAAATACCATGTAAAGCTAACAACAAAACAATGTATTTATGGATTAGATTTAGCTTATAAACTATCAGACTGTACCCTTTGATCTACATACTTTATTGCTGCTAGTGTCCCTTCAGTGTTATGGTTTTTCATTACAAATCAGCCAGTGCCTTTAAAAGCTGATGTATGATTTACTGTTATTCACACAGTTACCAGCCACTGGAATAGCTATGGTAGCCAATACAAAAGGAAAGGGGTCCAGTTCAGATTCTCAGCCTAATAGCCTGATTTCTCTATCACAATGCTACCTTGTCTTAAAAAACATCCAAGCCTCTCCAAGGCATGCAAAATAAATAAAACACTGTAGCCAGAAAAACTACCTACTTTATATCCTAACAGGGAGAATCAGTAGCAGAAGAATGGAATTTGTGATTTAAAAAAATCCCTGGAAAGTTTTTCTTTGAAAATTCTTCTAAAGCACGATAGAGTATAAACCAACTATTCTAAGGCCATATTTTTTCTACGTTTCGAAAAGAAAGAGGTGTTTAGTGGTTTTTGGGATTGCAACATATGGTAGAAAGCAGACACAACCCATTAATAAAGGATTCACTACAACATATTGTTACTGATCTCTATAGCCTCAAAGGATATTAGTTGCTGTTATTGGTTTAATCTAAATACTGTCACTTATTTTTCAAGATGAGATAAAAGTGGAAGATGATTTAAGACTGCCTTGCTTAATATGGTTTTTTTTGCAGTGCATAGAACCAACGAAGTGAGGCCACTTGACAAAAATTTTTCTTTTGTAAAAATTGAGGCTTGATTTAATTACATTAATAAGAATATCAGAAATAATTTCATGCAGGTAAATATAAGAACCATAAAAATAGGAGGCCTTGCAGTGAGGTGGAAAAGCTCAGCATTTGGGGGTCAAAAAATTTGATTCAAGTCCTCGCTTTGCCACTTGCCAGACAGGAGACCTTGATGAAGATTCTAGACCTCTACACAGCATCATCTACAAAACTGAGATGATGGCACCCACCTCACACTCTTGTTATGATGATTAAATGATACTACAAATGTAACAGTATCTGGGACAGTTGTTCAAGAAATGTTAACTATTATTTGTCACCCCCAAAAGTTGTACAGAACTAAATTTGTTGGCATCCAGCAACAGAGAGAAAAATCAAAGCATTCTAACTTGGCAGTAAATGTGATCTTTCTTCCTCAAAAGCCACATAATCAGATCTTTCCAGTTGCTCAAGCTAGAAACAGGCTCTTAGTTCTAGGTTATTGCCACATAGCCTTGGGTACAGCTGTAGTAAGTAGACTGATCGAGCAATTAGCTTGTTAATTCCAGCCATTCCAGAAGCTGAAATATTTTCCCATTTCTTGTTAAATTTGAACTTGTAATCCAAAATGCTTTAAACCCTGGGTCATAATTTTAAAATTTCCATATTTTACTGTGCACCTTGCAGAGTATACAAATAATGTCTCTTTTTTAGAGGTCATGCTGGCTAGCATTACCCATGCTCACTTTCCTCATGCAAAGTTTTCTCTGTAAAGTCAACCAGTTGGGGCAACAGTGAGAGAGTCTCTCTCTTTTACACTTTCTCCAGTCAAGAAGTCTGTTTTCCCTTTGCAATGAGGAGGTAGGAGGACCTTGACATTGTTTTCTTTCTGGATTAGAATTACACAAATGTCCAGTTAAGTTTAGAGTGTAGCTGAGTACTAAGGGTTCAGAAGGAATCAATAGGTCTTCTGTTTCACTTAATATATTTATATAATAGAATGGGATGGTGGGGAAGGGGAAGAAAATTAGTAGAATGAATCAACTGTGCTCTAGGCACTTTACATGTTTTACCTTTTTGAATCCTTAAAATAACCCTTGGATGGATCCTCATTTTAATTAGGAAGAATGACACAGAGAGGTTAAGTAACTTGCTCATGCTCACACAGCTAGTAAAAATTGACTGTGATAAAAACCCAGTTGTAAGTGAATCCAAACCTGGGTGTATCTGAGCCTGAGAGCTATGTTGCTCTCCAAAGGGGGTATGAATCATAGCACTACAGGGTTAGGGTCCTTTACTGATTATTAATACAGTTTTTAAAAAAACTGCACAGGAATTAAAAGGACAGGGACTCCTATTCTTTGTGGCTCCTAAGTAATCTATTAAATAACAAGTATGGCAGGGCGCCTTGATCGATGGGTGTCCTGAGAGTAATTAAATCTGTGGAGTTATTTTTCCTACTTTTGAGGGGCATGTGGTGGGAGTGTGTGTGAGTGTGTGTGTGTGTGTGTGTGTGTGTGTGTGTGTGTGTGTCTTAAGACTAGCTATCAGCTTCTTCAAAATAAGGGTAATAAATCTTGAAACAATCTTTCTTGTCCTGAGGAAAATTACCTGTTTTGTCTCTTGGCTAAGAATGTATAGGGAGAATATGTTTGACTGTCCTGGTGTTTTAGAGCCTTCAGCACATTCTATGGGGAATTGTCCACTGGGAGAAACAGGGCTGGTGTAACATGGCAGGCACTGGTGTGAAGTGGGACCTCGGAGAACTGGTAAAATTTAGGGTGCAGGTAGCGGTGTACTTACTGTTACACTGGCTCTCCTAAACAAACAAAACCAAACCAACTAAAACTTTGCCTTTTCTCCGTGACGAACTACCCCCACCATGGCTGATTTCAAGCGATCGACATGATGTCACTGAACACAGAGCTGAAGAGAGATGAACACACATCGGCCTTCACCCAGTGTGTATGGGCTCTCACCCAGCATACCTCCTTGGCTGCAGGTTTATTAGGATGTGAGGAACTCTGGGCTGAATGTTGCATTCGACAAACAGCTTCCTGCAATGAGAGAGCTCTCAGCTTCCCTGCCAGACCCCAGGTCTGATTTTCAAAACTAAGCTTAGTATGGACAGCATTCACCTCCTCTTACAGTGATGTGCTCACCTATCTCTGCGTCTTTTGACTACCAGGAGCAAAGCCACTTCAGCATCCTGGGGAGAGTCCACTGCCACCAGAATCTTCATGGCCTCTGCCCGTGGGAGGAAAGACTCTGAATCTGCCCCATTCTATCTAGCTGGGGTGGGGCTGAGAATTGGAGGTGAGAGCTTTCTGGAAAGTTCTTGCCCTATTTGGATAGAAGCCCCCTTAACTGAACTTAACACTAGGGTGGGCAGCCAACCCTGAAAACCCGCTGGCCACTGAGGCCGACAGCTGGGTTGGGCACTTAGTCCAGTCTTCGCATTTCTTACAAGAGCTCTGAGACCAGTTTCTGTTCAGGAGCTGGAGCAACGAGACAGAAGGAGCCTGCCTGGATTCCTAACCCTCTTGAGGGATTTCAGGGTACATCATGGGAAGTGGGCTGCAGCCTGGAAAAGGGAAAGATGGGTTTTTGCTGCCTAGAGAGAGGTGATTAAAAGATGCTCAGCCAAAAGAAATGTATTTATCCCTATTGCTATAATGGGAAGTTAACGTTTTGTCGAAATATACCTGAACACAAGTAAATGAAAACTGTTCACCTAACACCTGATTTGAATTGTACGTTCCCTGCCCCCCATATATAAGACCCATGAGAAGTAAGGCAGAAAAGTATATTTTCTTAGTTTTGAACTTTAGAAGTTCTTCACTCTTTACAGTTTGGTCTCTGAATCAAAACAAAGAAAAAGACATTTATAAAAGCCATTTCCTTGTCTTTCCGCACCAGGCTCCTTTGGGTATTAGTCTGAATCATTGAGAGAAGAATAGCTCTGAGTTGATCATAAATTTTGTGTCAGAACACGCGGCTTTATAGTCAGAAAGATGGTTGCCGGACATCTTGAGCTGATCTTGAAAGAGATGAGAGAAGAAAGTAAAAGTCGTTGTTGGGTGGTGCTCTTAAAAAAAGCTCACACAACTACCACCAGCTTCTTGTGGATCTCTAGGCCTCCAACTACAGCACTGAATTCCTCGAAGGATATTTTCCCATCGCCGTCTGTATCCAGGATGATGATGGTTTTGTCCACCAGCTGCTGTAACTGCCAGTCTTTCAGGTTGCCCCCTACCATCATCTTCAGCACCTGGAAGAGCTCCCCGTTGGAAATGTAGCCATCTTTATCTATGTCGTAAATGTTGAAAGCAAACCTTAGCTTCTGCTCCTTGTCCCCCTTGACACTAAACTGGGAGGTCCCCAAGATGAATTCCTTGAAGTCCACTTCTCCGTTGCCGTCGGTGTCAAAGACCTCGATCACTCGCTGCACCAACGGGTTCTGCTGCAGCTGGGACAGGGACAAGAACTCGTCCACGCTCAGAGTCCCCGAAGAGTCCAAGTCCAGCTTCTTAAAACTCTTGCTTAACCTTTTAATTTCATCGTTATCGAAGTGGGAGCACATCTCCTCCGGGTAACTGGCCTCATTCCCCATTGTGGACTCCGGGCACCGGCGAGCTGGGCGCGGCCAGGCTCGCGCGG